AAAAATACCTAAACCACCTTTTCATATCTGTCTGAGTTTTAAATAAACAAAATGAAAAAAACTGAATATTTTCTGAGCTACTAATATTATTGATAACAGTTTTATGCAACAAACTCAGCTGACTATAAATCTTTCTTGGGGTAACTTCTAAGGCTGTATTAGTAGGATGAATAGAAGCAGCATAGTAGGCTTTTAGAAGCAGCATAGTATTCCTCCTCCAGAGTCAAAACAATTGCTTATTGATGATTAATAAGACATTCCAGGCAAAGTTTTAAGTTGGCTTCTCAGATGACTTAGATACTACTCTGCAAAGTATTTCTAATTTTTCTGAATAGAAATTTTATATTATTCATGTGGTTTTAAAGCATTATCAGCTATGGCATCTAATTGGAATACCCCAGGCTGTGGGAAAAAATATTTGAAACTAAACTGTATTAAAATTAAAACTTGAGGCCAGGCACAGTGACTTATGCCTGCAATCTGGGAAGGATAAGCACTGTGGGAGGCCAACGTGAGTGAATTGCCTGAGCTCAGGAGTTCAAGACCAGTCTAAGCTAGAGTTAGACCATGTCACTAAAATTGCTGGGCATTGTGCCCAGACACCTGTAGTCCCAGTTACTTAGGAGGCTGGGGCAAGAGAATTGCTTGAGCGCAAGAATTTGAGGTTTCTGTGAGCTGTGACACCATGGCACTCTTCTGAGGGTGACAAAGTGAGTCTCTATCTCAAAAAAAAAAAAAAAAAAACCAGGCTGGGTGTCCATAGGTCATTGAGTAGGGTGCCAGCCACATACAACAAAGCTGGCGTGCCCAGACCCGGCCTGCTAAACAACAATGACAACTGCAATCAAAACAAAACAAAACAAAATAGCCAGGCCTTGTGGCCGGTGCCTGTAGTCCCAGCTACTAAGGAAACTGAGGCACGAGAATCGCTTAAGCCCTAGAGTTTGAGGTTGCTGTGAGCTGTGACTTCACAGCACTTTACTGAGGGCAACATAGTAAGACTGTATCTCAAAAAAAATAATTAAAACTTGTTTCATGTCTTAGATTTAAGTCTTTTATCCATCTTGAGTCAATTTTTGTAAGTGGTGAATGGTGTGTGTCCAGTTTCTGTCTTTTACATGTTTATCCAGTTCTCCCAGCAAAGAAAGACATTTGTACTAGATTGTTTATCACTGCTCAATTTATAATCACCAAGATGTGGAAACAACCTAAATGCCAATCAACTGAGGAATGGATTAACAAACTATGGTATATGTGTCTCATGGAATACTATTCAGCCGTAAAAGATGGTGACTTTGCATCTTTTGTATTAACCTGGATAAAGTTGTAGCACAATCTTGTTAATAAAGAATGGAAAATCTTTACATCTTTTGTGTTAACCTGGATAAAGTTGTAGCACAATCTTGTTAGTAAAGAATGGAGGCTCGGCACCTGTGGCTCAGACGGCTAAGGCGCCAGCCACATACACCTAAGGTGGTGGGTTCGAATCCCCAACCCCGGCCCGCCAAACAACAATGATGGCTGCAACCAAAAAATGA